GGCCTGGGGGGGCAGGGCTGGACGGGCGGGGCGGGGCGAAGGCTCAGGGCGCCCCTCAGGTCCCTCCAGCCCCGCATCTCTTAAGACCTGAGGCTGGTACCTCTGTGCACTGGCTACAGAAACGCCGGGAGGGACGCGAACCCGGGGTCTTGCACCCTAGATGGAAGCGGGGGGGGGGGGGCCCAGCCACACCCCACCAGGGGTCCCACAGCGGCCTCTCCCCTGGGCCGTCCTCAGTCTTCCCTTTCCCGAGCCCCAATAAAACACACCAACTGCTGCAGCGCATTTCTGGGTTGGGCGTGTTCGTGGGTCTTCTTTGTTTTATTTCAAATACTGAAAAAGTCCCTTGGGCTCCGTGGGGCTCCCCACGCTCATGGCCCCGTTCCCCCGCATCCATTCCAAGGACAGCACTGACTCCTGTGAACAAGCGGGGCGAGTCTCGCCGCCCTGCGCAGCCGGGGCGGAGCCAGGCCCGCGCCTGTGTACATGGCCAGCTCCTTGGCCCACACAGCGCCGCTGCCCGCTGCCCGGCACACAGGGGTCGTCAGATCTTCATCTACTTCACGGCCGCCTGGTCCCACCCACAGCTCCAGCCCCGGGACGGAGGAGGCCGGTCGGGAATGTCGTGGCCTCCACGCCCGGGTCCAGGGCCCGTCTCCCCCCACCCCTCCTGACGTGCTGAGATTTCTCCCAACAGTTATTTGGAAAAAAGGTACAACAAAAAGGTTCAAGGTCTTGGTGCTCAGCCCAAGGGCTCCATGCGCTGGGCACCGACGGGCAGGGGCTTCTGCCTCTGCAGCCCGCGCCCGAGCCACCTCCTAACCCCGGGCTGCAAAGGCAGGGAGGGGCAGGAGCGGACGGGGGGCAGCGTCTCAGGATCTGGCGGAGCCCCGGGCAGCATCATTCAACTTGGCCACTGCGGACGAACACAGAAGAAAGAAAGAAAACACTGTCAAGTGATCAGGGAGCAGCCCTAAGTGCACCCCAGGCCTCGCCCGCCCCGCCTCCTCCGCACTGGGCTCCCTGGCGGCAGCCCCCGGCCCAGACCGAGGCCGGGGAGCGGCCAGCCTTTATATTCCCGGCGAGATCCGCTGCCCCTCGATGCCCACGGACGCAGACAGAGACCCAGACGCGGGCCGGCGCGGGCTCCCGGGCTGCAGCGCGGGGCCCAGCGAGGCGGCGGGCCTGCCGGGCGCCAGCGACACGCGACTTTGGCGGCTGTGGTCATCTGGGCTTGAGCCCCGACCGGGGCTGGGCTTTACAGCCACCCTGTGCCCTGCAGCGCCGGCCTCCGCGGTGAGGACAGGAGGCAGGAGGCGGCGGCAGGTCGTTTGTTTCTCAGCTCTGAGAGCCGGGCGGAGAGAGGGCGCCCACCTGTCCCTTTGTCCTTTCCTGAACACCAGAGCGCGGTGACCTAAACTGAAGATTCAGGCTGACCGAGAGAAAGCAGCTCAGACAGAAAAGTACAAAATTGAAGAAGATCGGAGATGAAGAAACGTACAAAATTATATATATATTTATATATATAATAACATGACAGATCTATGTACAACACGCTGGGACAGCTGAGGAGACTATACAAGGGCGCTGGGCGCTCCCCTTCCCCGGAGCTTCGGACTGAGCAAGACAGCGTGAGCCATGGAGCAAGAACACAGACATCATGTAGTTACAGGTGACAGTCAGGGCGGGCAGGGCTGGGCGGGGGACTCTGCTCTCTCCTGCCTTCCTCACCAGCTTCTCCCCACCACAGGGCCGCTGGAGGGCTGACAGGCGGGCACCCGCACACAGGCGTTTGGCCCCTCAGAGTGCTGGAGGGGAAGGGGCAGCGGGTGGCCCCTTCCCCTCTGCTGTACCTAGCAGGTGGCTTCATTCAGATGCGGGCCAGCCAGTGGCAGCTTCCTCACCTGCCGCCCCCGCCCCCGCCGGGCCGTCAGCAGGAGCTGGGCCGCTGACTCTGGGAAGGCAGACTTCTCGGGGCTTCTTCTCTCCAACCCTCCCAGCTTCCTCTGCGGTGAATCACCTCCGGAAAACCTGCTGCTCCAGCCCTGCAGGAGCACTAAGGCCTGGAGGCCGGCTCAGCTGGTCCCCTTCCGGCCTCCTAACCAGACGCTGCCCGATTACACCTGCCTGGCTGAGCCGCGCCCTCAGGCCAGAGCAGCTCCTCAGTCGCCGCAGACCTTACGCAGGGGCAAGGGGCGGGGGCTAGAAGTGCGCACGGCTCGCTCGGACATTTCTGGTCTCCCCCCTCTAGACGCTGCCACTCACGAGGCCCTGTCCGGATGCGTGGCCTCCGGTCCCAGCTCTCCCCGCGGTCTTAGCCGCCCCCTCTGGTCCGCTCACTCCCGGGCCTTCTTCACGTTCAGTTTCACGACAAATAGCAGTTTTCCAGCTAGCATTTTTAGGGTTTCAGAAGCAGAATCGACTTTATTTACATCCAACCCTATTTTAGATGAGGAACTAGAAGTCCCGAGAGGCCAAGTGCCTGGACCGAGGCCACTCGCCCGTCCTGCAGACTCCTAAGCCAGCGCTCTCCCCACTGCCCCGGGAGCCTACAAGGCGGCCTGCTGGAGGAGACGGGCGTCAGTCTGAGGCGATCACGCCCCCAGTCTTTACATAAAGAGCCACGACAAACCGCACGAGACACTGACTACAGGCCAAGTGGGCGCTGGAGGTTTATGCGAGCAAATCAGTTTTTCTTTCGGAGGCGTCTCTAAGCCGGCCGCAACGGGACGAAGCAGCAGCCTACAGGGCGACACTTAGAAGCACAGAGAACAGAGCTCGTCCAGGCGACCCGCCGACTTCCCCACTACGGCAGGTTGGTCTTCGGGCGCCAGACCCGTCGTGGACTTCCCAAGGCTTAGCCAACTCAGGGAGAGTCTCTTCTCAGAGGAGACACACGCCTCCCCAGGTCCTCACACGAAGAGGAGGTGTGCAGCGCCACCCAGCCCAGTCCTCCCTCCGGGCCCCACCTGGGAGGGAGTGGACAGCTCGCTTTACCCCAAGACGTGAGCTCTGAGCCCCTCTTCCACCATACGCCCTTCTCAGCAGCCGCCGGCAGACTCAGTCCTTCCTGGCTGGCAAGCTGAGAAGGCCTGACTGGGTGCCCACTCCATCCTGCCTATGATATACAAAAGTCCAGCGGGGGAGGAAGGGGACGAGAGGGGGGCCCAGGTTACCCCGCAAGCTTGCTGGTGACGAGCGAGGACTTTCTCTGGGGCAGGTCCTGTGGGGTGGGGATGTGGTCTCCGGTCACCAGGTTCTTGTCTGGTCCTGCACTGGGCAGCTGCTTATTCTTCATCTTGGCTTTGGCCATGTTGTAGTCTCCTGAGTCAAAGTACTTTTGCTGAGAGACAAGAGGGCGTTCAGACGAGTGAGCAAGCCTGGCCGTCCTCAAAAGCTAGCAGACTCCCATCCACGAGAAACCCTCACCCACACCCAGAGCTTTCGAGTCTGCACTGATTAACGCCCACACGCACGGCTCCCTTCACTGTGTGCGTGCCTTCCTCACGCCGTGCCCTGCCTTTTCAGGCCCCTACGCCACTCCCAGCCAGAGTGGGTGTTTTTGGGGCCGAGAGATAGTCCCTACTGAAAACTTTTATGCCCACATCCTTCGTAGCCTCATCAGTGCAGGATGAGTCCATCAATCACTGCTTGGTCACAAAGGCTGGCTGAGACCTGCGGGAGTGGTGCAGGGAAACGCGTGAATAGAACCATGAAGTGTCCATCTGGGGCTGCCCTGCAGCCACTGACCGCTCCCTCAGGAGGCTCCGTTTCCCGGCCCTGCACTCATAGCCACCCAGCTCCCGTCAGGTGCCTCAGGCCCCAGCGAGCCTGAGGCTGACTGAGGAGCAGGAGTCACTACAAGGGAGTGTTTCTCTGTGTGGATAAAATGGAGCGAGAAACAGGGAGCAACGTCCAGCCAACAACCAGCAAGTAGCAACCAGCAGGTAGCAATGTCAAGCCAACAACCTCAAAATTAAATTTTTTCTCTCGGATTGTGAACAGAAACTGGGCTGTTCATGAGGCGAATGTATTCCTGTGGCTCGCAGCACTCCCACACATGTTCCACGGCTGTGGCAGCCTGCCTGCGCCCGCCTCGCGGCAGGACTAGACTGCGAACCAGCGCCACAGACCTTATGACTAAGACTCAACTAGGCGTCTCCAGAGGGACCTGTTTCTCGCTCCATTTTATCCACACAGAGAAACACTCCCTTTTAGTGACTCCTGCTCCTCAGTGGGCCTCAGGCTCGCTGGGGCCTGAGGCACCTGACGGGAGCTGGGTGGCTATGAGTGCAGGGCCGGGAAACGGCCGACTGCACTGAGGGAGCAGTCAGTGGCTGGCGCTGACTTCAAGGGTCTGAACAAACCTATCGCTCATTCAAGTTGCGGAGACTGCAAGGCCGATGATTTGATCCTTTCCTGAAATAATGCACCCCAAACTTAGGAGCTCTGACCCTGAAAGGTCGAGCCCCCATCTGAGCGGGCAGGTGCCTGGGGCAGACCACACACAACCTCTCAACATCCTTCTCCCTCACCCCGCCTCCACCCAAACCCCATTGAGCCGCAGTTCCCTACAAAGGAAACCAGACAACGGCCGACCTAGGTGCCTCGCTCTTCAGGCGTTCCCAGCTCAGCACGCAGCACAACCTCCACAGGCCTCACCCCTCACACCCCCGAGCCCAGTAGGAGCGTAGGCCCCGTACCCCTTTCTGGAGTCTCTTCATGAGGAAGTCGGAGCCTCCAGGCTTTTGTCCGAGGCTTGGGTATTTGGCCTTTAGCTTCGCCTCCTCGGCTCTCTCGGGGAGGATTCCTTCTTTCTCCTGTGTGTCCTGCCGGGAGAAAAGGGTCCATACACTTGAAAACGGGGAAGCCACTGGGATCTGAGCACCTTAAAGCTACTCTACTTTCCCTGAGGCCCTGGGCAACACGGAGCTGCGCCCTCGCGGCTGGGCCTGGCCAGTCCCGCTCCAGGAGCTGGACAAGGGAGGAAAAAGACACCGGGGATCTCAGGGCAACCAGCGAGTGCGCAGTTAAAGGCAACACTAGGCGGGTGCCCGACGGGGCTGCTGAGGCCTGAGCAAGTTCCCAGCCAGAGGTGAAGGGGTGCTCAGGGGGGCCACTCCCCGGGGCCCACCCAGGTGATGGCCGGATCTGCACTCTGTAAACACTGGGCGCAGGACGCACAGGAAAGCGGCTTCCACCCTCAGGGAAATTAACATTCTGCGGGGTTCACGAATGACCCACTAACCTTGCCCCAAACTCAACGCCGTCCCTGAGGCGCAGGGGATGTTGCTGGGGTCACACCGAGCTCGGCCGGCCGCAGGCCACGGCTCGGGGCTGCGCTCCGCCAGCTGGTAGCGGGCCCAGCCACGACTGAAAAGGCCCTGAGGTCCAGCTGGGGCTTTCAGGGGCACCCCACCGCCCTCCCCGGAAAGCTGCGGCACCGGGGCACCGGCCCAAGTCGCGCACCCCCGGCGCTCCCCGGGCGCGTCCAACCGGCGGCCGCCCCGCGTCTCCTCCGGGCTCCACCGCACTACTCGCGCTGTCTCTCGGCTTCCTTCTGTTTTCGGATCAGCCTGCACTGCCCGCCCTGGGCTCGCGGCCTCTTGCCCGTGCGGGTCGCCGACGGTGGGCGACACCCCGCGGCCCACGAGCTCGCCTCCAGGGAGAGCTGCCGCCTCAGCCAACCCCTGATCACCGCTCTTCTCCCGCCCCCGACGCGGCTCCTTCAACGTCTCTGCCGCGACCGGGGTCGTTCCGAGCCAGGGCGAGGGTCCGGCCGGCGTCGGGCCGCCACCCACGCGCTCACACACCCCTCCCGGGACCACCGGCCCTTCATTCACCCACTCTTTCCCAACACCCGCCCCGCGCCCCGCTCGGCCAATCACGGCTCAGTCTCGGTGCGTCGAGCGGGTGGCCCGCTGACCAATCAGCAAGGGTGCGGCCCTGACTGACAACCGACCTAACGAACGAGAAGCCAGAGCAGCGAGCCCGGTTGCAGCTCACCCAGCGTGACGCAGGAAGTGGCCAACCCCCGCGGAGCCCGAGACCATGGCGACCAATCCGCACAGCTGGGAGACCGACTCCCGCCCCATCACGCTCGCCCCCGGCTCGCCCGCCCGCACCCCCTCCATTTCACCTGCTTCTCTTCGCCGGTCTCCTCCGCAGGGTTCTCGTCTTCTTGTTTCTGGGACATGGCGGGGCCGGGGCTGTGGGCTGTAGGGGACCCGGGAAATCAACCGGAGGAGGGAAGGGGGAGGGGAAACGGGGACAACCTGCGCTGCTTCTCCGGCTCCTGTCACTAGGGTTGCTCAGTTAAAATGGCGGCCCTGGCCAGTGACGTTGCGACCGCCCCGTCCCTTCAGAGCCAATGGTAGTGGGGTAGACGGGGCAATGACGTAACGATTCACCAATAGTCGCCGCGTGGGGGGTGGGCTCTGCGGGGGCGACGGGCAGGCGGGCGCACCAATCCGGAAAGAGAGTGAGCCTCAAGGCCCAATTGTAAGCCGAGGGGCGGTGCCGCGAGCTCGGGCCGGTCTGCCCCTTCGGGGGCTCGGCTTCCTTCCGCTGCTCCGCCTGCGCCCGGAGCCGAGCGGAGCCGCGCGGAGTCGCGCGCGGGAGCGCGGGGTGGGGTCCTCCGAGGTGGAGAGTGAGGGGTCAGCTCCGCGCGGCCTGACCAGGCGGCCGTCTGGCTCCTCCCAGAAGCCGGGGTGGCGCGGACCTCCGCTGGTGGCCAGCGCGACTCCGGCGGGAGCGGAGGCCAGCCCGGTCCGAGCCGGCTCCAGCTCAGACCTGTGCGGGCGCCCTGGGAGCGAGGAGCCCCGAGCGCAGCCCCGTGCGTGGCACCGGGAGACGAGGCCCTGTCAGTCACAGCGACGCTGCGGGCCTGGCGGCGGCGCAGGCTGGCCCTGCCTGGGGCGGGGGGGGGGCAGCGGGGCGCCCCCCGCGTGCCCGTGTACCCCAGTGACGAGTATTTTTGGTGATGATCAAAAACACAGCCTGTAATACTTAAAAGCAAACATTGGCTTAACACTAGCCGCACTGCAAGAGTCACACAGAATTTAAGTCGCCCCGACAGCTTCTTGGGGGTCGCCTTGGGCTGTTCCATTTTTCTGTATAACTAGGTACACGCATACTGAACAGTCAGAGAGGCGCTGCGAACCCGGATTACCGCCATACAAGGGACTCTGGCGAGCTCTGCAGTGTTGATAGAGCTGTAGATGGAGGTGCCTGGGGCTCAAGCGCAGCCCTGGGGTCCCGGCCAGGGAGTGACCCCAGGGCCAGCAGACCGGTCTCCCACTGCTCCCCTCAGCAGTGCATTTCAGTGGCTCTGCCTATTCTCCCCACTCTGTCTCTGGTGAGCCGTCTCACCCCCTGCATCTCTGGCCTGTACCCCAGTTCTTTTGCCTGTAAATAAGTAAATCTTCAAAAAAAAAAAAAAAAAAAAGGAGCTACAGAGGTGGGCTGCTTGGGAGCGGCGGTGAGGCACTGAGGAGACAGACACTGGAATAAAGGCCAGGAGCAAGGGCACCGCCCTTCAGAGAACTCTCGGGAAGAGCCGACATGCGGAAAGCACCCTGAGGGAGGCCCTGAGCACCTTACCAGCCTGTCCCTGCTCTTTTGGGGGTTCTAAAAAATGTCTGAGTTTTCCAGGACAGGACCTAATTCTTTTCAGGTTATGAGATGAGCTGTCTGGGAATAGCGCTGAAATGTGTCAGGTACATTCTCCTGGAGAAGGTTCCTTAAAAGCCACGATACCCAGGTTAAGGCAGGTGCGGTTAGCACCCCAATGGGCAGGCTGAGAACACCGGGACTAGCTGCGCCCTCACCTCAGCTTACCTCCTCGGCAAACCCGTGCTCCTAGGAGTAGTTTTATTTTTGTTAAGAAAATTTATCTCTGCACACAGGCCAGAGGTGCAAGGGTGGTGAGAGGCTTCACCAAGACAGAGTGGGGAGCAGAACAGGCAGATGGAAGGCAGGGAGACAGAAGTCTGCCGCACCCCGTGGGTCCCTCCCTGGTGAGCATCGCACTTGTGCTGTGCTTGGCTCCCCAGTGCTGCGCTGTGGCCTCCAGGGAGGGCCAACTCGGTATTTTATTTTCATGAATTATAGACAATAAAACACAATGCTGTGTTCTCAGATTTTAACGTGCACCTCTGGAGACTGTGCTTAGAGGCCGTTTCCGAAGCCCCAGTCCTGGGGACCAACTCACTAGGAAAGGGCATTTCCACCCCTCACTCAGCGATTCTGTCTGAGAAACACTGTCTGAAGGATGACTTACGGGACTGAAGCGTCGTCTGAAATAAAAATAACGGACATATCCACAACCTGAGCCAAGACATCGCCTACTGGCGCCTTCGCTACAGACAAAACAAAGAAGCGAAGAACAATAAGAACATTACAAGCAGAGTGACATTTTCCCACGTTCAATTCGATGTCACTCACATTCACCACGGTAACTGTCACGGTCGGGTCCTGTGCATGGTTCACACTTAGCCCTAATTCTTAGCTCTCTGAGCTCAGGCGTCACTTGTCAGTCAGCGTCCCGGGCAGAACCCACCCTCTCCTTGGCCGCCGAGTGTAACTGGGTGACTGAGCGGCCGGCGTCCAGGTCAGCGCGGGTGCGCCCTGCTTCCCGCCTCCGTGTGCTAGCTAGAATGTCGTGTAACCCACACAGGACGAAACAACGGCGTGTACCCTCGCATGACGTGACAAGGGCGCTGCTGGCCTGTGTGTGAAAATCTTATTTCCAGCTAAAGTGACTCAACTGGGAGAACGATCAGAGGGCCAACAGCGGCTCTTTCTTTACAGAAGAGGCGACTGTGTGCCTGATGTGGGACGCCCTGTGCCGCGAACATGACGCAGAGTCTGATGCGGACGCCCGCCCGCCCGCCCGCCCACCAGGGGACGGCAGAGGCCAACGCCCGCCAAGCTTCAGGAGAACTGAATCACCTGCTACCCCCAGTCAAGCTGAAACTTTCCACAGGAAAACCTGGTTTCAATTCTTGCCAGATTGTTCAAATGGAAAGAAAAATTCAGGCAGAGACAACATACGGCCAGGTCTTTGTTCTTTTACAGTCAGACTGAAGCTCTACTTAGGGTGACAGTTACAGTTTCACATGAAAGTTGTTATCTCTAGTCTTCTAGGTGACAGCTAGTGTGAAAAATGAGGACAAAGTATTGACTGACCTGGGGCATACTATGGGCTACAAAGGTTTGGGGAGGAAAAGAAAGTTGCAATTATTCCTATAGTAACTTCCGATCCGGAGACTTGCTGCCATCCTGAGTCGTGGTACCAGCGCTCCACACCCGTTTTCTCTGCAAGGGTCACACGCAGGATCCATGAAAATTAACAGCCTAAGACATGCCTGATGTTCGCGCAACTTGGTGCCTGTTGTTTTTATTCACAAATACTGGACTTGATCCATCAGCAGCTCTTGATACCAATTGTCCCTCTGAGTAGGATTCTTCCAAATAAACATCCCTGCACTCACTATTGAATTGAGAAGTGTTTTAGAGGTTCTGGAGAAATGAGACCACTGATGGGAGGCACCTGTGGCTGAAAGGGGAAGCTATTTCTGGAACCCCATAGACTAGACGAGCCCCTGGGCTTATGCAGGAAGGGGGGGGGCAGACGCTCGGTTTAGACCTTCTGCTGGAATCAGGGTGCTGCTATTCAGCCAATGCAACTGAAAATTCCCTCACTCCAGCCACAGTGGGGACACGTAAAGTAATTTCAGAAACCAGGAGGGTCGTGCTGACAGGTGGATTCTCATGCTTCAGCTCTCTCCCACCCACTCTCCCTTACAAATTGTAATGCTGATGGTGCCAAAGAGGTGGTTGATAGATTTTATTTTCATTTAGATTTTTGTCCTAATGAATAAAGGAATGGGATAATGCTGAGAGGGAAAAGAAAAATATTTCTGATTCTGGAAGTGGGAGACCAGGTAATCTAATTTGTACTATTCTCATTAGTTTAGAAAAGGAAAGAACAGAAAAAGTCATTAGTGGGATACACAATCCCAGAGACAACCTGCTCCAAAAATTAGTCTTTTCCCCACTGCTCCTTATGCAAAGGAGCAATTCTTTCAATAAGTACATTACTTAGCAGAGTCTGAGAGTGAAGGCCATGTAAATAAGACTGAAAAACAAACTTTAAATGATACAACAAAAGGTTTAAAAGATCTCATTCACATTCTGTGGCTAGAGAATGCCAAATCCCTGTTCCTGCTTATACAAAAGCACAGTGGGTGGAAATAAACCAAGAAGAAAAAGTGCTTACTGGGTACGAATGGGTTCACCCAGTGTGTCTACCTCTGTGGGAATCTAGGGAGATATAAAGTCTGCTTAGGATGGTTAAGATCTATCGAGAAGCCCTCAAGTTGCTCTCCCCAAATCACTAGTCTGATTCAAGAGAAGGAAAAAAATGATGAAAGGATTTCATCACACAAAAATTTGTGATGGTGCCTCTGTCACCGTCAATAAGGAGAACCCACCTGGGCGTTAGGACTTATTGAAGGCAGCCAGCACGGCCCAGATCATCTCTGAGGCACTGTGCTTTGTCCCTTCTACTTCAGGGTCCAGTTCTACTAGGTCCTTGGCTCGATTCATCGCCACATCATACTTGTCGTCTGTCAGAGAGGAGAAGACATTTTCGAGTACGTCGGAGGAGTGGGCGAGCACCAGGAGCGCCAGCGTTCGCTTGTCCATTCGCTGCGGGTCGTTCACCCACCGCTCGAGCACGCTGTCTTGAAGTCTCTTCACTAAACGCTGTTTCTCTGTGGTGTTGGTCACTGGGTGAGTAGTCATGTCAAAGAGGAGAAAGTTCTGCTTCTCCGTGGTCAGAATGCCCTTCTCTACTAGGTTCTTGGCAATTCGCTCTCTTACATTTCTCAGCTGGTACTGTAATTTGAAGGGGTTCCAAGTCTCACCTATCGGGAACAGAGAGAACTTGACCAACATCATAAACCACGCGACCTAACAAAACATCTACAGAGCATCCCACCTTCTAACTGCCACAGGACACATTCTTCTCAAGGGCACACAACATGTTCTTTAGCATAGACCACCTGGTAAGCCAAAAAATAAATCTCAACAGGTCTCAAAGGATAAATCCCATATAAATATCTTCTAGTACCACAATGAGGTGAAATTGGAAATCAGCAATAGGAGGAAAACTGGAAAATTCACAAATGTGGAAGTTAATCATAAACAAAGTGTTAAAGAAGAAATCACAAGGGAAATTAGAAAGTACTTAGAAATGAATGAAAGTACAATATATCAAAATATACAGAAAACAGTTAAATCAGTGCTCAGAGGAAGTTTACACAAAGGCTTGCATTGAAAAAGAAGCAAGCTCAGAGTGGTCACTTAACACTATGAAGAACTAGGAAAAGAAGAGCAAAGTAAACCCAAAGCTAGCAGAAAAGGAGAAAATAATAAATATTAGATTGGAGATAAACAAATTAGAGAACAGAAAACAACAGAAAGATCAAAGAAACTAAAAGGTGGTTCTTTGAAAAGATGAACAGAATTGACAAACCTTTAGCTAGACTGCTAAAAGAAAAGAAAGATGCAAATCACAGATAACAGAAATCAAGTGAGAATATTATAACCTTACAGAGATATAAAGAATGAATGCTAAGAGAATACTATGAACATGGACCTTCCTGGTGGCACAATGGGTTGAAGTGCAGTACTGCAAGTGAGCCACAGCCCCTTCACTGTGAGTTTGATCCCCACCCCGGAGGTGACCCACATGGCCCGGCAGACCTCTCCTGACCCGCCCACTGCTCCCCTCAGCAGTGTACTTCATCAGTCGGCCTGTTCTCCTCCCCGCTCTGACTCTGGTGAATCCTCTCACCGCCCCTGCACCTCTGGCCTGCATCCCACCCAGTTCAGTATGCATAAGTAAATAGATCTTTTTTATTTTTTTAAGAAGAGAATACTATGAACAACTGTGCCTATGTTAAGAACTTAGATAATGTGGAAGAAATGGACAATTTGCTTGAAACAGGTCATTTCAATTGACTACAGAACAGAAAATCTCAACATCAATAATAAGAGATTGGATTAGCAATCAATAACCTCCCAACAAAGAACACTCCAGTCCGGGTGGCTTCACTAGTGAATTCTACTTCAAATTTGAGCAAGAGTTAACATCAACCTTTCTCAAATTCTTCTAACTGAAGACGGAACACTTGAAAAAACTGTGTTGCATCTCGCTGAAGTGACTCTGGTTCACGTCGTTAGACAAGATTTGGTGGCACACGTGGATCCCAGCCACCGGCCCACTGGGTTAACCACCCCAAACCTTCCACTCCGGTAGCCCCAACTGTGTAGCCAGCTTTTGAGGGTTTGTTTGGTTTAGTTTTGTTTTGTTTGTTCCTTTTCTTTGTTTCCTTATATTCCACACAAGAGTGCAGGAAGCCGTCAGTGTCTTTTCTCCTATTTTACTTAGCATAACCCTTCCAGTCCCATCCTGTTAGCAATGGCAACAGCTCACCCCCTCCCTCCGTCCACGCGTGTGCATGTGTGTGTGTGTGTGTGTATGTGTGGTGTGTAGGACTCCACTGTGCTCACACACCACATCTTCATCCTCTCGGCTACTGTCGGGCACTCAGGCAGGTTCCACAGCTTGGTGACTGCAGACCGCGCCGTGAGCACGGGAGCGTGTCCTTCTCAATCAGCGTTTTCTCATTCGTTGAAGAGAGACCCAGGATGCGGTTGCTGGGCCGTATGGTAGCTGCTAGTAAATATTTTTTCTTTTTGGCATGTGATTTTCCAGACAAACTTTGTTGAAGATATTTCCCTTTCCTTGACATCTCTGTTGTAGATTAACTGTCCATGTAAGTGTGGGTTTGTTTTTGGGCTCTCAACTCAAGCCCATTATTCTGATTACCATAGACTGAAGTCCAGGAGTGTGATTCTCTCTCTCTCTCTTTTTTTTTTGGTCAGGACTGCTTTGGGTTTTTGGGATCTTTTGTGGTTCCACATAAAATTTGATAGTGTTTGCACTAGTACTTTGCAGAATGTGATTGGGTGCTTGGTAGGGGTTGCAGTCTGTCCTGGCTGTGTAGCGTAAGGTGGCCACTTTGATACTATTAATTCTTCTAATCCAAGAGCAAGGAATCTTTTCCCATTTCCTTGGGTCTTTTATTTCTCTTAACAATGTTTTCACTGGACAGCTCTTTCACCTCCTTTAAGTTTATACCTAGGTATTTAGCTCTTTAGATGAAGTTGAATGGGCTTGTTCTCTGATTTCTTCCTCGTCTAGCTCATATACAGGCACAGAAATGCAACAGATTTTATATACTGACTAGTCACCTGGCACTTCATCAAGCTGATTTATTCTATTGAATAGTTGCTTTAGGATTTTCCTAGTACATTATCAGGTCATCTGCAAACAATGATAGTTTTACTCCCTTTTCCCCACAATTCAACTCCTTTTATGTATTCCTCCTGTCTAACAGCTGTAGTTAGGTCTTTTAATACTACGTTGAGTAGTGGTGGCGAGAGTGAAAATCCTGGTCTTTTATTATCCGGCACTCAGAGAAGATTTGTTTTTCTCCACTGACTGTGATGTTAGTGTCTGGTGTACGGTTGGTTATATGCTCTTCATTTGAACATCCTGTCAAATGTCTCTGCATTTATTGATATGACATGATTTTTAGCTTTCCTTTTGATGATGACTTTTTTTAGCTGAACTACTCTTGCATTCCTGGAGTAAACATCACAGTCAATGGGTGAGATCCTTTTGACGCATTGTTGAATTCAGTCTGCTAAGACTTTGTTGAGGACTTTTATATTTGTTTATCAAAGATATTGGTCTGTAGCTTTTGTTTTCTTTTTGTGATTCCTTAATGCTTTTGGTATCAGAGGAATATTGGCCTCGTGAGATGTGTTTGAAGCATCTTTTTCTACAGTTTTTCTGAAGAAAGGACAGATATCAGTTCATCTTTGAAGATCTGACAGGGCTCATTAGCAAAACCATCCGGTCCTGGGCTTTTGTGTTTTGGGTGACTTTTGATTGTTGCTTCAGGTTCCTTGGTTGTAACTGATCTGTGCAGGTTTTCTATTTCGCACTGATTCTGTCTCAGAAGGTTGTATATGTCTAAGGATTTGTCCATTTCTTCTAGATTATCCAGTTTATTGGGGTAAAGATGTTCACAGCACTCTCACGGTCCTCTGTATTTCTGAGATTTCTGTTCTAACTTCTCTTTTGTTCTGGTCCTATTTACTATAATTTTCTCCCCCTTTTCTCCACGAGAATTTTCTCTGTGAGCCCTGCTAGATGAGAATTTCAACAGACATTTCTCCAAAGAAGATATACAAATGGCCATGAAAAGATGCGCAACATCATTAATCACTAGGGAAAGGTACATCAAAACCATACTGATATCACTTCATAGTTACAGGATGGCTATAATTAAAAACAAAACAAAATGTAAAAAGCCACAAGTGTTGCTAAAGATGTGGAGGAACTGGAGCCTTTATGCATGGCTGGTGAGCATATAAAGGGGTGCAGCCTCTCGGGAAACAGCTCTCAAAATACAGATGCTCCGGACACGCCAACAGCTGCAATTCCCGGGCACATCCCACAGGAGTGAAAGCCTGGCGCCAGGGCGCACAGCGACAGCATCCAAACTGCCCAGCGGGGGAGACGGTCAAGGGGCCCGTGACAGACGAACACACCCAGTGTGACAGCTGCGTGTGCACGTCTGGGGACGATTGGTCTGCTCTAGGTGAGATCTGGATACTTGCGACAGCATGAATGGGCCCTGCGAACCCTGTGCCTTGTGAAGTAAGCCAGACAGAGAAGGCCAAGAAATACAAGCTTCCGCCTGTCGGAGCTACCTGTGGAGGCTGCTGGGGTGGGGGTTGAAGAGGAGGCAAGTTTGGGATAAGGAAACTCGGGGTGTAGACAGAGGCGACGACGACATGGCGCTGTAGATGTATGTAAGGTCGCTAAACTGTACACTTGAAAGTGGCTAAAATAGGCCCTTCCTGGTGGCACCAGGGGCGAAAGCGCAGCACAGCGGAGCTGAACCAGCCGCTGCTGCGCCAGGACGACCCGGCCAGGGAGGCCCCAGGGCGCTGCAGACTCTCCTGACCCGCCCGCGGCTCCCCTCAGCAGTGCACTTCAGTCCATCTGCCTGTTCTGCTCCCCGCTCTGTCTCTGGGGCGTCCTCTCGCCCCTGTACTTCTGGCCTGTACCCCAACTTTCATATGTATGAACAAATCTATCTTTTTTAAAAACAAAAGAAAAAGAATGGCTAAAATAATATTGCATGTATCGTTTTCTATAATAAAATATATACCCAAAGAACATAAAATGATCATAAAAAACTTGACTCTGAATGTTTATAGCAGGATTAGTCAGAGTAGCCAGAAAAGGTAATAACCCAGCAAATGGATGAATGATCAGCAAAATGGTCTATGCATGCAGTGAAGTACTACCTGGAAAAAAGCAGGAGTCCGGTTAAATTTGGGGAAACTCTGAAAATACCGAGGGTTGTATCCGTGACCACATCCTGGCTGTCACCTATTAGCCTCGCAAAATGTTACCTGCGGGGGATTCTGGGCAAATAAGGAATCTGTATTCTTTCTTACAGTTGCATGTGGACCTACAAATATCTCAATACATTTTCAATTACAAAATTGTTCCAGCTGATGACAGTGGCTGCCGTCTGAAAGTGTGCTGTGCAAGATTTATCTAAGCTTTTATTCCAAAGATCTAGTTACTCATAGTAAAGTTTTTGAATTTGCTCCTAAAAGGGAAAAAGGATGGAGTGCTAGTATGTGTTTCAACATGCACAGACTGAACATCCTAAATCACACGATTCGTAAGTTTATGGCTCCACTCATATGAAATATTCAGCACGGGCCATCTACAGAGACAGAACGTGTATTGTGGGTTGCAGGTTGGGGA